ATATATATATATATATATATATATATATATATATATATTTTTATAAAAAATATATATATATATATATATATTATATTATATATTATATATATATATATATTATATATTATAATATATATATAATATATATATATATTAAAATATATATATTATATATATTATATATATATATTATTTATAATATATATAATATAATATAATATATATATATAAATAAAATATATATTTATATATAATTTTTTTATTATATATATTTAATATTATATATATATATATATATAATATATATTATAATATAATTTTTATATATATATATATATATAATATATATATATATATATATATATAATTATATATATACTTACATACATACATACATACATACAGGGGAAACCCCTGGTTAACGATATTTTTTCACTCCAGAAGTATGTTCAGGTTCCAGTACTGACCGAATTTGTTCCCATAAGGGAATATTGTGAAGTAGATTAGTCCATTTCACAGCCCCAAACATACACATACAAACGCACTTACATATATACAATACATAATTGGTCGATTCGGAGGTGATCGTTATGCGGGGGTCCACTGTATATTTTATAATATATATATATATTATATATATATATATATATATATAATATATTATATATAAATATATTATAATATATATGTATTAGCATTGAGTTCAAATGTTATTTTTTTCATTTCATTTTTCATTTTTCTTTCAAATAGGATATACCTTTCATGTTTCCTTGTTTTATCGTTGGTTTCATAAATAATAAAGTGTTTATCTTTGTGAATTATTATTTTTTTTTCTATTCATTAATTTTCCTGAGGAGGAGCCAGCCTTGGTAATACTGTCTGAAGTTGTTACAGGGCTGAGTAAGCCTTCACAGTGTTGCATCTTTGCCAAACCAAAATTTTCTTTGCATTTTGTCCTTGGCCATTTTGGTGTTTGGGACAGTGAATGTACAGTCTCCTATGTAGGTTTCATAGTTAAGGATTCTTCAGTCTTCTGCAGGCAGTTACCATTTTCAAACCCAGCACTTGCATCATGATCTCTACCAGCATCATTGGTCCTAGTTAAATGATCAGCAAAGCATTTTAATTCAGGTTGTTGTTCTTTTGGCTGTGTTCCCATCATTATCACTTCTGAGAAACTCCTGTACTCTAGCCACACCAAACTCACTCTTGGCTATTTCATGGAGGGGCATCCATTGTCACTTAAGTGCAGGATGATGCTGACAGCTTATCACTTGATTGACTTACTTCATTTGTCAGAGTATGCTGGCATAATTTTTTACCTATCCTGTATCCACCCTGCTCAAAGTCCCACCCTTAATACACATTCTCTCTAACTGAAACTGATTCGTTTCACATACTACTTCGTTTTCTTCCTTTCACCCTACTACTCGCCTTAACACTTCTTCTATCTCTGTAGCAACCTAATATAAATAACTCTCAGCCTCGTAGTTTTATTTTTTATTAAGTTACTACAAGTTCACTATTTTGTTTAGTGTAGTACTGTATAGATTATTTTTTACTGTTTATTGTTGCCAGTTTATGTTAGCATTTGTGCAGTATCAGGTGCTAAATCAGGTGGAAAATTGATATCTAATCTAATCTTAATAGTGTACATTATAATAAACAAATTGTTAATTCTTTACTTTAGATATTGTTTCTATTCTCATATTCATCTTTGTTAGTAGTTGTACCAGTTTATTTCCATAATAATTACTTTTCTTTTTAGTAATTATATCAGCTATATCATCTGTTTATCTGTTATTATTTCACTTTAATTCTCCTAAAAATATTCTTCCTAATTTGGACTTATGAATGCAGATATTGATCCTGATATTAATCTCTTGCTAAACTGCAATAACTATCAAAGCTCTCCTGAAAACAATTGGAGGAGTGTAGCAAATAACATTTTAGCAGAGATCACCCCAGGAGGCACCTCAGATGAAAATTCACACACACACATGACGTACTAAATCTCTGCACCAAATTCACCTTAAACCAGCAAATATTAGAGCCTACAAAACTAGAAAATATGCTGGACCTCATTTTCACTAACAACGACAGTCTGATATGTAATATAACCATATCAAAGATAATACACTCAGATTGCAACATAATTGAGGTACAGACATGTATTCACAGGGCTCCTGACCAGCAAATTGTGATCAATCATAAGGTTGTCTTCACAATTTTCAACTTCAATAACAAAAACATACAATGGGAGCAAGTCAACCATGTCCTAAATGAAACAAACTGGGAAGAGATCCTAAACAACACGGATCTGAATCTTTGCCTAGAAAAAATAAACTGTGATTCTTGAGATCTGCTCAAGACACATTCCATTAAGAAAAGAAAGAGAAGATGTAAACTAGAAAGAGAGAGACACTCCGTATACAGACGAAGGCGAAGAGTCGCAGAGCTGCTGAGAGGGGCCAATGTATCTGAAATATGAAGGGAGGCACTGGTCAATGAAATTGCAAATATGTATCAAACTTAAGCTGAAGGAATCCTACAGGAGACCAGAATCTCAGGAAGAACCAAAAACCATGAAAGAAATTGAAAGAAAAAACAAAATACTTCTTCTCTTATGCCAAATCTAAGGGAAAAACAACATCCAGTATTGGGCCCCTGCTTCGGCAAGATGTGGCATAGAGTGGAACCTCGGTTTACGTCATTAATTTGTTCCAGAAAGTCTGATGAAAACCGAATTCAAAGAAAACTGAAGCAATATTTCCCATAAGAAATAATGTAGTAAATCCAATTAATCTATTCCAGACACCCAAAAATATTAACAAAAAATACATTTTATAGAGAATAACTGTAGTTTTACATATAGAAAAGAATGAGAAATACAGTAAGTATAAATGACTAATGAAATGGGTAAATGAACATTTAACATCACTTCTACCTTTATTGAAGACTCTTGTTGGCATATGGAGAACAGTGAGGAGGGGAAAGGGAGGAGAGGTTATCTACCACCATCACTACCACCCTCTACCTTTGTAGAGGGTGGTAGTGATATTTCTCCACAAAACTTTGCAACTCATTCCACTTTCGTACTTTGCTACGAGTTCTTTCTTGAATTCTATCGTGTTTCTCACCTTTATCAAAGGGCTGGCACTCGGAACTTTCTTTGGCCCCATGGTGGCTTATTTAGCAGTTGTAATCAATAAACAAGTACAAAAAATAATGATTACAAAATGTTTCAGATGAACGCACAGGGTAATGTTCACTCGACAAGAAACAAAGCCAGACTGACTCAGAATGTGTGGGATGCTTTGTGTGGGCACGGGCAGGTGGACACGTTCGGTACGGTGGACCACTGTCAGCTTGACAAAAACCGAGGTGATAAACGAAAACTGGGACAAAATTTTGACGAAAAAAGTTGTCGAAATTCGAATTCGACGAAAACCAGGGCAAACAAAAACCGAGGTTCCACTGTGCACAGATGACAGCCAAGAAATAACTGAGAAGTCCCAGTATGACTCAGTGTTCAGTGAGCCACTACCCAGACTGTGGATCAACAGTCCAAATGAATTCTTTATTAACGAGACCCAAAATTTGGTCGTCTCAAAAATCTTGGATATTATCCTAACCCCACAAGACTTTGAAAAGGCAATAAATGACATGCCCATGCACTCTGCCCCAGGCCCAGACTCATGGAACTCTCTGTTCATCAAGAACTGCAAGAAGTCCTTATCGCATGCCTTCAGCATTCTGGAGAGGGAGCATGGACATGGGTCATCCAACACTCACTAAAAACAACAGACATAGCCCCACTTTACAAAGGTGGCAGTAAAGCAGTTGCAAAGAACTACAGAGCAATAGCACTAACATCCCATCTCATAAAAATCTTTGAAAGGGTTCTAAGAAGCAAGATCGCCAACCACCTAGATACCCATCAATTATACAACCCAGGGCAACACAGGTTTAGAGCAGGTTGCTCCTGCCTGTATGAGCTACTGGACCACTATGACAAGGTCCTGGATGATGTAGAGGATAAACAAAATACAGATGTAATATACACAGACTTTGCAAAAGGTTTTGTCAAGTGTGACCATGGTGTAATAGCACATAAAAGGCCTAAGATCTGGAATTCATTGCCCAAATCATCGAAAGGTACCCTGCCTGTTAATAAATTTAGAGCTATTGTTAAAAAGCACTTCATCTCCTTAATGTAGCTAAACCAGCACTATGCTATACCAAACATAACCAGCTCATCCAACTTTATCTCTGTTTTTCTAGTCCTCAAACTACATAGAAAATTAATTACTCTTCTAACTTCTAGTATCTTCACCATCTCTTTCAGCCATTCCAGAAACTAAAGACATAGTCAGTTTGAAACTGCTTAAGAAATCCCACTTAACTGAAGATCACTGAATTAGTTTGAAGTAGTAGTAATGCATACTTTAAATTATACTGTTGGTCACGTAGCTACCTCTCCTTTTTGTACATATAAAAATTCCTAATTAACCCATGTCTAGTTTGTAAGTAGCCTTTAAGCATTAGGATTAGTCTGCCCGAAATGCACCACATGTAATGGCTTTCTTTTGTGCCTAGCAATATTTTATTACATGCAAACTAAATTACTTGTATACTTCAGAAAAGAAATATATTGCATTTGTATTACATGCAACATCAGCCACTCCTTTACCTTCCAGCATTAAATAACCTTTATGAATGTTTCACCTTGCATTTATATAATGTATTAATAATGTGCCTATTCATTTAACTTGTCTGTTGTTTGTACGTTTTGCCCTTATTTAAAAGTGAGCAAAGGCACATAGCATAATTAAAGAGAAGGGTGGTCCTCTACAATTTATGAGTTTCACTAGTATTGTGTATTATACAGTATTCTTCATGTTAAACACAAAGTACTATATGCTTTTCATCTTAATATTATTTGTACAGTACAACAATTATCTAATTTTACTGTGCATTTAGTTCAAAATACATTTTAAACAAATTAATATTTTCAGATGGTTTGCTTTTCTAATGCATCAGCTTACTAAGGAAAAGGATGCCAAAGTAGAAGAAGTCAAAAAGGATTTGTTTACGAGTCTTGGATCTATAGTGTCCCATGATCCTGAGTTGCGAAAAGATAATGCAATTAAAATCTTGGAGATTGGAGTTGGTACAGGCTAGTAATGTGCATTTTTTATTTCACTACTGTATTTTATAATTTTGTTATAGTGGACAATATTTTACATTGTAGTTTTATCATGTTACATTTTCTTTAAACTAATTAATGATGAATTGTCTTGTGGCTGTTATGGGTGGCTTGTGGCTCAAGTAGTAGGGCTCTTGGCTCTCATCTTTATAAACTACTATAGTTTAATCCCAGCTCAGATAGAAACACTGAGCATGTTTCCTTACCCCTGTTGCCTCTGTTCACCTAGCAGTAAGTACCTGGGGTTAGCCAGCTGCTGTGGATCACATCTTGGGGAAGAGGTTAGGTTAGGTAAGGTTCGTCAGGAAACAGGACAAATGTTTCCTGACGTGGGTCTTAGTCAGATGATGACCCGCCTTTGGAGCTTTGGTCATCTGACCGAGCCCTTCCGCTGGCTTTCCGGTCCACCTCTTTAAAAATTATGGTCATAGAGGATCAAAAGATTACAATGGGTTATTCTGGGTTACAAACCCTCATGATTAATAATTAAAATATCTTCTTTTCAACCCATTACTCTGTTGTTCTTGATGTTAATGGCTTGTAAGCCTCCATCTGCTACAGGCCTTTAGGTATGATTGAAATATAATTTGAATGAAATATTAAGTTTTTAATTGTGTTTTCTTGTCTTCAATTGAAGATACATACCCAGTGGTTTTGCCTTGTATTTTTTTCATTTAGTCACTGAATTTCTATTGCCTGTCTAATGCATGACTGTGCGTGTTTCAGTAAAGTTTAATTAGATACTCGAAACATCATTAGTGCAATATACGGCACTGTTTTAAGTTGTTTTTTGTAGGGTAGGGGAGCACCTTAGCCCTTTGACTGTTGCAAGTCCCTTTCTAAAACTGTCATTCTATGTTGCAAAATTTTTGGGAAAAAAAATAATTTTTTCTTATGAAATGATACTCTTTTCCCGATGGTAATGACACCAAAAGTACGAAATTTGGTTGAAAACTCACGGAATTATGCTCCCGCGAAGTTAGCGGTCTCAGTGACATATGCATTGGCGATTTCGCCAATTTTGAGCCCTGTTTTTGGCCATTTCTGTTGTTCCTGTTGACCAAACTCATAGCTATTTCTTTAGAACTCCATTTTTTCTATCAGTTGAGTACAAGAAACCACCCATTTATCGATATGAACTACCCAGTAAAGTGGTCAGAAATTGGCAAATTGGCCAATTTCACGCAAATTAAAAAAGATGCCAATTTCAAAATAGGGTCCAGAATAAACAATGTAGACATTCTTGGCACTAAAATAACATATCCTCTGTTCATTAGTCACGTCTCTAGGCCCTCTTATATTACTGTTGCTTTCTATTTTGATTTTTTATTCATACAAAAAATACAAAATTTACTGTTATGCAGACTACTGCATTATTGTAAAAGTGGTATAAATAATATCAGTGAACTAGTGAAAGAATATTAGACACCCCAGTTGACGTGTATTGGATGTGTGGTGTGATTTGCTTACTCTTGAACATTGGTAAAAATCGAACATTTCCACTACTTTGAGCTCAATTTCAAGGTCATTTTCATCGTGAAACTAATCAAAATCATCTCTATTTCTGTAATATGTTTTCCATTTTATCACACGAGACCATGAAAATGAGAATACAACAATAAATACTATACGAAAATGCACCTCAAAGTCTGCGTTTTAATCCAAAAAAAACAGTCCGTTTTTTTTTCTCTCATTATGCACTGTGTGCTGCAGGATTTTTTTATGTGGTGCACACTGACCACACAGACCCATCCTCTCACATGTGGGCCTACCAGCTTTCTCATGCTTGATTTGAAGCCACTAGAATTTACACGTATAAATACAGTGGACCCCCACATAACGATATTAATCCGTTCCTGAGAGCTCATTGTTATGCGAAATTATCGTTATGCGAATGAATTTCCCCATAAGAAATAATGGAAATCAAATTAATCCGTGCAAGACACCCAAAAGTATGAAAAAAAAAATTTTACCACATGAAATATACATTTTCCTACACACAAAGAGAAGGATACATGCACAATAGTAGAGTAGTACATGCAAAATATATATTGTGCATGTACTACTCTACTAAATGAAGAATAAATGACACTTACCTTTATTGAAGATGCAGCAATGACTGATGAGACACTGTGTCCTGGGAGTGCCTTTTCCTCCTGAGTACTGTAGGTCCTGTTTGGCATTTTCTTCCAGAATAGGCCTTATCACACTGTGTATGCCACTACGATTCTTAAATCTTTCAAACCAACCTTTGCTGGCTTTAAATTCACCAATATGAGCACTAATTCCAGGCATTTTTCCCTGTTCACCTGGGCATTAGTCGACTGGTGTGGGTTGCATCCTGGGAGACAAGATTAAGGACCCCAATGGAAATAAGTTAGACAGTCTTCGATGACACAGACTTTTTTGGGTTATCCTGGGTGGCTAACCCTCTGGGGTTAATTGTTTCTTGGTATTCTCATTAAGCCACACCAACAACGGTGCTACAGCAGCAGCAGCAGCTGACAGTGCTACAGCAGCAGCTGACAGTGCTACAGCAGCAGCTGACAGTGCTACAGCAGCAGCAGATGGTGCTACAGCAGCAGCAGCAGCTGACAGTGCTACAGCAGCAGCAGCAGCTGACAGTGCTACAGCAGCAGCAGACGGTGCTACAGCAGCAGTAGACGGTACTACAGCAGCAGCAGCAGCTGACGGTGGTGCAGCAGCAGCAGCAGCTGACGGTGGTGCAGCAGCAGCTGACAGTGGTACAGCAGCAGCAGCAGCTGACGGTGCTACAGCAGCAGCAGCAGCTGACAGTGCTACAGCAGCAGCAGCATCAGCAGTTGACTATGGTACCACAGTATTTCGATAATATTTCTCACCCTTTTTACCACAGGGTTGGCACTAGAAGCTTTCTTGGGGCCCATGGTCACTTATTTTGCAGATAAAATCACCAAAAACACTGTAATAATACGAAATGTTCGGATTGTATGCTTGGATGTTACCACGGAGGCTGGCTGGTAAACAATGCCACCGTCGGAACATGTGAGGCTGGCTCAGGCCGCACATTAGACGCGTCTCGGACGAATAGCGTTGAGCGGGTTTTTTAGCGGTATGCGAGGCAAAATCTTAGCGATAAAATGTATCGGTATGCGGATTTAGCGTTATGTGATGCCAACGGTATGCGGGGGGTCCACTGTACGTTCGAAACAGTGGCGTGTAAGACGTATACATACGACCAAAACAGTCAAAGGGTTAAGAGTGATTGGATTTACTATGCATAATTCAAATTTATATTACTACTTACATACTAGTACATATAACCAGTTTGTTTGGAGTTCTGGTAGCGGGAGTAAATGATACGTCTTGGAGGCTTCTTACTTTATTTGCAAAGTAGTGGTGGGTACACAGGCTTGTGTTTTTGTGCCCATGGCCCGGGAGGGCCATCCCACGAGAGAAAGAGAGTAGGCCTTCTTGACTGAGTGAAGGGTGTAGCCAGAGTGAGGCAGAGGCAAGGGCAGGCAGGCTGGCGTGCCCACTGAGAGGCATGGCTACAGAGGGCAGCACCTTAGTGGTGCGAAATATGAACTAAGCTGGCAGACAGCATGGGCTGTCTGTGCAGACAGTATAGGCTGTCTACATATGCTTGGTCACCTACCTCGCGTCGTCGTCGACACGACAATACTGGTGGTAAAAGAAACTCGGTCTCTCTCTCGTAGGAACAGGGCACAGAACACAAAGTAAAAACATATATATACATATGGACATGGAAAAAAAAACTTCCTACAGGGAGGGAAGAAAAAAACGTGGGGTGTGCTAAACATCGTGGTCAAAGGCAGTGAGCGTTGATGGGCATCACTGCACACATTCCTGCGTCTGGACAGATACTGCAACACGGGAGACATAGCTGCGGCTGAGCTGTGACGTAACAGGTTACGGTCTCCTCTGGAACGGTGAAGCAGTTATCGTAGGAGTCGCGGCAGGTTTTCACTCAACCTGGGGCACGACATGCTGGTGCCCTCGAGTGAGGCGTCGACAAAACTCGTCAACTGGGCAGGACTTCTGGCAAGCGACTCGGGAGGACACTTCTCGACTGGTACTGTCGCTGGGCTGTCACTGCCGGCGAGTTGTGGAGCGAGTTGTGGCAGAGACGACTGGGCGAAACATCTGGGAGTCGTAACATCATACACCAGACTGCAGTGAGAGAGCTAGCAGTCAAAGTGACATCATCTTTGTGCAGGTTGCTCACTGAAGCTTGTGACACAAGGCTGACACAGCGCCTGCCGACAGGGCTAACTGCGGCTTGACAAGTGTCATTCTCTCGGCAGTTGGAGTTATAGCAGAGGTTAGTCTAAGCATCCCCAGACTTGTTTCTCTACATATAACTGCATTCTGAAGGTCTGGAGGTGAAGTGAAACAAATCTCGATGGGAATCGTAGCAGGTATGATTCTGCAGAACATCACGAGCGACGAGCATAAAAGCTTTCTGTACAAGAGGGCTCTGGCTCAGGGCTATCTGATAACTGTCAAACGCACTGGTCACATCGGGTGACTTAGCACAGTGGTGCTACTCAGGTCTGGCTTAGACCTCACTGGACACACGGAAACTACACACACCCGCAGTACATGAGGTACACTAACATGTGAGAACACTGACTGAGAGGAATTAATTAACACACGACATATATCTTCTCTCAATCTTCTCGACAATACTGAAATAATTACAGTGGTCCCTCGTTTTTCGTAATTAATCCGTTCCTGGAGCCATTACTATAAACGAAATTTACGATTTACGAATCAGTTTTCCCCATAAGAAATAATGTAAATACAATTAATCCGTTCCTGACACCCAGAAGTATTAAAACAAAAAAATTTTTAACATGAAATATACATGTAGTACATAAACAATACAATGGGAAATGATGAATGAAACATTAACAGCATAACACTTACCTGTATTGGAGATTCTTCTTAGTGTATGGGAGACTGGA